ATGACGTCATATTGCAAGGGGCATAAGCCATGGTGTTTTTGTTATGGAAATAGAACACTTGGTAAATGTGAAAAATATAAATCGTTTTAATGCAAAACATATGTTGATTAATTGTGATATTTTTATATTTTTGTCTATGACACTTCTAGGTTAACACTATTATTGTGGAAAAAGTATAAGAACATTAGGTTCATTTCCGTGTGAACTTGCCCTTTAACCATCACTCATTCCCACCACAGTTTGTACAAAGTAATCTGTGGCTGGGTAATGTTGTGTAAATATAAATTAGTTCAATAAAGGAGTAAGAAATAAATTTGCAACGACAGGACCCTTACCATGTTTGAAATGTTGTATATTTGAGCCGAAAAAAGCAAATTTATAAATTATACCCATCAGCAGTTGTGTACTATGTGATTTTATTGTTTTAACGTTTTAAATCAAGTTATATTTCTAAAAAACCATTTAGAAGTATTTGTTGAGTGCTGACTAAATGCCAGTACAGTTACTTTTTTATATAAATATCGCCATTTTAAGATATTTTGAAAATTAAAATTAATGAAATAAACTGAGAGGTATAGTTTCATTTGCGCCTCTGTTCATAATGAATGATCCGCCAATTGACATAGGGCGCATAATAGACTAACATCTAGTCTCTGAAATGAACATGTCGTACAGAAAAAAAACAGTTGTTCAGTTATCTTTATAAAAATATAATAAAAGGGAGCCCAGTGACTCTCTTCATTTTCAGATACTGCAGGGGCGGTCGGGTAGCCTAGTTATTAAAGCGTTCGCTCGTCACGCCGAAGACCCGGGTTCGATTCCCGACATGGGTACAAAGTGTGAAGCCCATTTTTGGTGTCCCCCGCCGTGATATTGCTGGAATATTGCTAAACGCGGCGTAAAACCATATTCACTCACTCACTCACTCAGATACTGCAGTGATCTAGACCTGCCAAACATTATAGACTTGCATGGGCTGTATTTGATATATATTTGTATCAGGGTCTGTAAGAACTTTATCACTGAAACCTACGAACATAGTAAAGGTGCTGACGAACGAAGATACATAATCAGTGAGACTCTAAGATTCGAATCTCCAACCAGCGGATCCCCGTATGCCAAAGGGACGAAACTCCATACAGTGATTTGCGCCAGATGATAAAACTCGGCCACTTGTGCACACAAATTTATGTGTTAATGTACAATAGAAATGATATAATCAATACAAATTGTTTATATATATGATTAGGTTAATGTAAAATTGAAAATAAAACTAAGTATTTAAATTTGATTAGTGACATAATGAAACCTGATTAAAGTTTCAATGTCAGATTGAAATGTTTGTTTTGAAATGTACTTTAAAATATGACAGCCTGTCTGGAAACATCAAACTGTCTTGCAGCAAATTGGTGCGTTAGTACAGTAAACTACGGTTATAACGAACTCAAAGGGACTCCTATTTTTAGTTCCTTATAACCGTAGTTCGTTATAAGCATATATACAGCATAACCACAGCAAATAGTCGGGACTAAAAAGTAAGTTCGTTATATCCGTCAGTTCGTTATAAGCGTGTTCGTTATAACCGTAGTTTACTGTACTCGCATAAGACACGAATTATGTCGATAGCCGATACATGAATACACTTAACTTGTATGAGAGATTTAGCCCCAACGTTAGCCTCAACTTTGCTTCAAGCGTTGAACTCATGTCAGGAATCGAACCTGAGTCTTCGCTGTAACATTAACCATAACCACTTGGCCATTCCAACGTCGAACATATTTCTTAACGTCAATGTTCCAATAACATATGGATCTATATCGCATATCATTCGACATATGGTTATTACCATATTTGTTGGTGCCCCGTTCAGAAAAAAATGTTGAATACTTCGTGATATGAAAAGTGCAACATTAAACGTATACGTGACTCTGAGAAAGAGACAGGGACGTCAAATCGTTATAACGACGTCCAATTTTAGAGCCTAGGTGTCTCCGTTTACATTGATATCATCACTATTTAATTTCGTGAATATAATCCCGACAAAACTGTATATTTTCCCACGAAGACGCAAGATTAAATGGGACATAATAATAGATCTATCAAATTACCCCTCCATCACCATCAACTGAAACGCAGGCGTTCGTCAATTTCGAGAAAGTCAAAACACGCTAATGCAGTTTTCACGACGAAAACAAACCACGCAATTTAAAAACGTTACTCAACAGTCACGTTTGTTTTCTCTGACCATAAATCAAAAGATTTCTTGTGCAGTGTGAAAACACAATCCTACTTAGAAACACGACCCCTCGCAATGCTCGGCACAGTGGGTGCGTGTTGTGCACTGGGGGCAAGTGCGGTATTAGCCTCATCTGCTCACTCCTCCGTACCAAAACCCTGACCTACTTGCGCAACTCGACCCACTTCCAAAATCCGATATCGACACGAAGGGTGTTGCGAAGTAAACAACACATGTTAAAGACACACTGAAAATCCGTGTTTGCTTCCCACCTTTACTCTCAACGGCCCTGTTTGAGCGTTAATCAAATTAAACTTCAGCCTGCCACAATGGTAATAATACCGGGCAGTACTACAGGACAAATACGCCGATCGATCTGGCCTCTAGCTGTGTGGGAGAGAGCTAGACTTGCAAAGTCTCTCATTCAATAATCATTCGTTTAATCGTTATTTCTAGATTATATAAACAACAAGAACAAGTTGTCCTCAAAGATGACTGGCGTCCTTGCACTGTCCGCTTATCTAGACTTGCCTATTATATGGATAGAATTACAACACATCCATCGACTTAGCTTTCAGTATAGCCTTGGAGCAAGGCTGGGAGAGAGCAGACAGATGCGTTGTCAATAACAAGGTCATCGCGGTTTAATGTGGGGGAGGAAATAAACGTGGAAGTATTACCAGATTAGGGTGGGGAAAAACAAGGTGGTGTAAAGATAGGGCTAGTGGGCGGGCCCCAGCGGACGATTAACGCGGGGTGATGGGGCTTAAAAGCGTCTATCTGCCATCGTTATTTTCTACGGCATCTGATGGACTGAATTTGAAAAATGTTTTTATTGATTATATTCAATCCACCATTGTGGAAATATCTGTCAATATTTAGCTGCTTTCATTTCTGTTTGATGGGCTTTCCACATATGTCATGCACGTGTGGGAATCTGACTTGAGGTAGTGAGGTGTGGATGTCTGCACCGTGGAGGCGGACGTAATCCCGAGGGATAATGACACGACTGGCGAGAGCAAAGGTGTCCATTTATAGACACAAAATCAATCTGATTGAAACCAAATTAAGGAGGAAGAACACATTCTTTTTGGAACTAACCGTCATTACAACCACTTATCAATAATGTTATCCACTGAAAAAACATTTTAATCACTAAAACCAATATTTACCTTGATGGTTATGATGAAAAAAACCCGTATTGTTTTTCAGGCAATCGTTTCCCCAGATAAAATGGAAGTGTTTATTGACTTTTGGAAAAGTCAAAAGCCGCCGTTAGGCGTGCATTGTTGGATTTGAGTTAATGAGCACGATCATATTACATTGTTTTGCAGTGAATCTGGGGTCCAATAACAAGTCCATGTGGTCAACATAATCCTCACAGATTGTCTCTTCCAGGAACTGTATGTACACAAACAACTTAATAGCGTAGCGACATTCCCTCCCGTGAGCTGTAACCTGAGCTAACGTGAACACTGCTTCTGGCAAATAGGTCAGACTGTTTACACAATAACTGTGTCCCACGTTGTCGCGGGGATAGAAAACCTTGAATGTGTGAGTGAGTGAGTAGGATGGTTATTACTCCACGTGTATCGATACTGAGGGCTGTATGTGAGACACCACACCTGCATACAGGGGTGTACCCGGGTCTTTGTAAGAGCCAACCACGTGATACTAGTGGTCAGTCGGGGCGGTCGGGTAGCCTAGTTTTTAAAGCGTTCGCGCGTCACGCCGAAGACCCGGGTTCGATTCCCGATATGGGTACAGTGTGTGAAGCCCATTTCTCGTGTCCTCCGCCGTGATATTGCTGGAATATTGCTAAAAGCGGCGTAAAACCATACTCACTCACTCACTAGTGGTCAGTCTCGGTGCCTTAGTTGATTGTATGTCATCGTATCCTAATTGCCTAGATCGATGCTCATGTCCATCACTTGATTGTTTGGTCCAGACTCGATTATTTACAGACTACCGTATAACTGGAATATTGCTGAGCGCTAACCATTAGAGAAGAGGTTTTAATGAAACTATTAATGTTTCGATTTTTTACGCGTAATGATTCAAATAGTCCTCAAATATTGATTTTCGATTGGAAAAGTAATTGCAATTCTTTATAAGGGGCTGCTTGTAAATACACTGTGGCTACTCGGTAGTACATTTATAAAGGTCTTACGTTGAAGAAGTAAAAGTTATACATTGAAAACAATCGAATAAGCTGAAAAACAAGCCGAGTTTGATGTCAAGCTGATAAAAACCTTCTGTGATCCAAACTATAAACTGTTGACACTAAATGGTTATTGTTAAGTACTTCTTAATCCGGCAAACCTACACATCTACGTCAGCTAAATGAAGCTCACCTAGTGTTTTCCAAACCATTCAGCTCTATCCCATTTCCAGATCAATGGGGCGATCTATAAATATAGCCTAGATTGGGGGTCATTGAGTACAATGTGGGGAAACGTTCCAAGAAACTCATTAATTACACAGCTGTCGGCAGATTGGCAAAAAAATATCCCGATGATGTCATTTTTAAGCCACGGGAGCGTGAAAAGTGAACGCATCTATGGTCATGGTACTGATTACGTCGCGTGGGTGAACTTCGGGGTCAATCGGTACATTTTCCATTTCTCTATCGCCATGCTGTGTTTTGGTTCATGTAACAGTTTCCAATTCACATACCCTTCTAGGACATTGAGTTCAAGTCTTGGAAGTGCGAGTGCTTCCTTTTTATGACCCTTTCGCTAAAGAAAAAAAGCCGAAAATGCAATTGGTGATTTCCATCCCGATGTATTTGAGAAGACAATTACGTACTGATAGTTAATTTAGAAGCTTCAAATCTGTAAACTAGCTAATTCAAATTAATCACACTTTGTATTGGCTGAATACAATCATAAAGAAAATAATATAATATTTTGAAATAAAGGTAATTCATGTGATGAGATCCTAAAAATATAATAGCCAAATAAATTGACTGTATGACATTTTACAAGAATGTTCACGGATTGATGCCTTGTTCGCTGTCCATGCAGAGTTGCATATCTTTAGTTGAGTCAGGATCCGCTGGAATCCCGGAATTGCCCGGATTATAGTCATTGGTCTGTTCGCACCCTACTCGTGCATTTTTATATAACCAGAGTGGGACCCCGTGGGGATTCCGGGTTAGAAAAGGTTCCCAGCAACCCATGGTGGTCTTAAGGGGCGACCAAATGGATCGGGAAGTCAGATGCGGTGACTTGATTGATAGCGTGTCCTCCAACCCCGATGGCGTTGATCGTTGCTCATAATATCAATCACTGGATTGTCAGGTCCACACTCGATTCTTTACATATCGTATAGCTGGAATATTGCTTGTGCAGCATTAAACAACAAACCAGAGACATCATACCGATATGGTCTGTATACGGTCTCTGAACAAACAAACAAACACCAAGAAACCAAAGGCTCCAGGACCTTCCTCACACATTAATGTAGGAAATAAACAGGAGTAAAGCAGGAATAAACCCAAGTCCACAACTACATTTCACAAAGAAAAAGAGTGTAGCCTTCTAAATCTGAGTTATTACAACCGTGCACGATGAGCTGTAACTAATTAGATGCGGTATCGAAAACATCCTACACTAATACACAAGGTTTTGCGTCAAAAGGTAGTTTTAATGCTCTCGAGAACGTCATACTTTAGACACATGCAAAACCTAGACTATTTATAACCCTCTGAAAATGTATAATTTTGATAGAAACAAATAAAATCATTTATGGAGCCCCATTGAGGTGAGGTGAGGTGAAATTGGGTTTAACGTCGCGTCCAAGATTATTGCACTTATATAGCGACGTGCATGCATGTGTATGTGTGTGTGTGGCTGCTTGTACTAGTCCGGACTGATGCCGATTTATAGTGCTAGCTCACTGAGATACCATGCCGCAGTTTAACATGAATACCCCACTCAGACACAGTATACTGACTCCGAGCCGACCAGTCCTTGTTTTAGCCCCTTAATGCCGAGCGCCAGACAGGGTAACAACAAGTACAATCTTTTAACGTCTTTTTGTATGACGCGGCCCGGGATCGAACCCTGGACCTTCCGCTCTCCGGGCGGACGCTCTACCACAAGACCACGGAGGCGGTCGAGCCCCATTGAGGAAAGTCTAGACTTGCTTAATGTAGTGATTTTGCATTACAGAAAGGGCTGGGTGGGAGGACAAACAGCATGGTTCGGGGACTGTGAAATAGACTCATCCATAGCCTAGCACTGAGCTCACGCACTATCTCATAACTATAATAACAATCATCCTAAAGAAATAGTCTTGTTTCAACAGGTTCAGTGTGCGAAGCCTTGAATAACGCTAAAATCGACGTAAGACCATATTCTTTCTCGCACTTACTGGAATAAAACCTATGCACGTTTCACTCAAGCACATGTGACGAATGCACTTCAACCTAAATTTGACAAGGAATCACGTGACCACATCAAATATATGGTTTGACAAGGTATCACGTGACCACATCAACCATATGATTTGACAAGGTATCACGTGACCACATCAAACATATGATATGACAAGGTATCACATGACCACATATATAATTGGGCCACGCCCAGCAATCCCACTACCAGGCTCTCTTGAACCGATTATAGAATGACCGCTCCTTACCTAAGTCCCCTTCAATGCCAATGCCAAGTGTCTGTGCACCAGCGCAGGGGGATATACATGCACCTCATCATCAGCACGCACGAAATTCCTTTCTGCACGCACCAAAGTGCAAAGGATTCAGGGGAGCCGAAAGAAATGTTTTCTGAACCTTGTAATCTACCCTCGTGCTTATGTATGCTATAACTATGATCGACCACACTTGGTATGCTTTGAGTTCAGAGAAGAATGCCTTTCTCTGAGTTTGAGTTCGACTACGTTCAATTTCGGCATAACGCCGTCATTCAAAATACACCGTTATGACATAATTATGTTTAACCCACGTTGCCAGTCAACTAACACAAGATTTCGTAATACATCGGAAAGCGAATAACACGAATACAAAACAAAGTATAATTACATAATGGTATCACCCGGTATAACTAATGCACCGAATGGTCCGGATTTTACCTTCGTTGCCAAAACAGGAAAACAGACAGTTGTAGTTCTGTTCATGTCTCGATGAACACCGAACAATAGCAACCGAGTACACCGGCTCCAAACCGAACGACCGATTTATGGGCGTGCTGCGTTGCCAGTATGAACCGATCTTGAAATACTAAACAGTCTCTAAGCAGGACTACAAATTGGTCTGCAAGGTCAGGAACATCTGCGTGTATGTCGCAGACCCACGTGTCGGACAAGCTTCTGTGTACGTGCCATGACCTTCACCAGTATAAATCCTATCAAATAATGTGTAGCTACACTAAGCTAACAAGTGATCGATTCCTTTCATTGCTCTCAACACGTGAAGGTTTGGTTACGTGAAGATGTAATTTAACCATATAAGAAGTATTCTATACTTTATATCTATTTTGGTACAAATGCCGACAGTTCTGAGTTTGTTCAAGTGATCTCATCATCTACACCAGGGGCCACTTGAGATGCTAGTTTTTGGTCACGCTGCTTCTGATGCTGTTGTCACGTGTATGTAGATGGATATCAGTCAAGTGTATGTTTAATAAGAGACGTCGTTTTTTTCGTGTCGGGCTATTGCGCTGTCAACTTGACTGAGAAAAAACTACTAAGGCCTCGCCTTATTCTGATAACGCTGAGACGCTCAGGTGATGGAGGGTAACGTTTTCGGGGAACTTAATCGATACAATTTTTTAAAGGACCTTTATTCCATAACAGACGAAAGAAATACAACTTATGTAACATGCATTATCTGTGTCCGTCTGCGTGTCTGTCTCTGCGTGTCTGTATCTGTTTGCCTCTTTGTCTTTATCTATGTCTGTCTCTCTGGGGCGGTCTGGTAGCCAAGTGGTTAGAGCGTTCGCACGTCACGCCGAAGACCCGGGTTCGATTCCCGATATGGGTACAATGTCTGGAGCCCATTTCTGGTGTCCCCCGCCGTGATATTGCTGGAATATTGCTAAAAACGGCGTAAAACCATACTCACTCACTCTCTGTCTCTCTTTCTGTGTCTGTCTCTACATATTTCTCTATGTGTGTCTGTCTCTCTATGTGTGTCTGTCTCTACATATTTCTCTATGTGTGTCTGTCTCTATGTGTGTCTGTCTCTACATATTTCTCTATGTGTGTCTGTCTCTCTATGTGTGTCTGTCTCTACATATCTCTCTATGTGTGTCTCTCTCTCTCTATATTTCTCTATGTGTGTCTGTCTCTACATATTTCTCTATGTGTGTCTGTCTCTCTATGTGTGTCTGTCTCTACATATTTCTCTATGTGTGTTTGTCTCTCTATGTGTGTCTGTCTCTACATATTTCTCTATGTGTGTCTGTCTCTCTGTCTGTGTCTGTCTCTACATATTTCTCTATGTGTGTCTGTCTCTCTATGTGTGTCTGTCTCTACATATTTCTCTATGTGTGTCTGTCTCTCTATGTGTGTCTGTCTCTACATATTTCTCTAGGTGTGAAAATGTCTGTCTCTCTATGTGTCTGTATGTTCGTACTGACTCTCCTTTGTCTGTCGGCCACCCTCTCTCTCTCCCTCTCTCTCTCTCTCTCTCTCTCTCTCTCACACACACACACACACCAGTATACTAACTATATGAACAAAATCATCTTACAAATCTTTTGTTCATCCGTGGCGGAAAAATAAAAGAGAATTAAAATATATACAGTAACACATATCTCCTATTGGCACATCCGTATGATTGCATGTCATTTCAATAAGATCGTGTACGCTCTGTAATTAAGGACGTACATATATAAAAGGCCGTGTATAAATAAAATAATATCACAATTAATATATGTTACTGAACGCCTTTAGACAAGACGCGATCGTGATCATGGAAAACGAACGTGACGAAGTTTAAATCTCATCCCAAGCAGCACTACCATCTGTGTCTATGTCGCTACACTCAGACAGAGTATTTTTACGTATTAAGGTTCTTAGTACTTCACGCTGCAAGGCAAGTTGGGAAACCGCAGATATATTTGCGACATTGTGGGGGTGATGCGTCGTGACAAGATGGCGGAAATGAGCGAGTGGTGACGAGATTGGACGAATGATCTGTGGCATGCGACAACGCCACGCGCTTTGGCTTTATGACGGAGATGAGTGAGTGAGTGAGTGAGATGTTTTTCTTCACTTTCGGCAATATTCCAGCCATAACATGGGAGACTAACACTGTATTTCTAACACTGTGCCCTTGCTAATCCAACCGGGTCTTCACGTTAACACTGTGACTGCTCACCCGACCCCCTGTCGTCAAATTTGAAGTTCTGAGGAAAATCTGTCGTTCAAATTTTATATCAACTACGCATATTAGTGACGGGTACTCGTAAACTAATGGCTACTTTACGATCTCTAGAAATCCTCGATTGGTGCCTTCCCTTAAATACATTGCAAGTTAAGAGCTACCTCCCCTCGTACTCGTATTTGAAAATCAAGCATTATCCTGAATTCTCTTAGGTGATGGAGAATAAACATTTGCTGTGAACTTCGTCGATGCAGCTTTTAAAGTTTCTTTTTACCTGCTATTCCATCTGCTGTAAAAAAATTATATCGACTATATTTATATCTTACTGAGTGTGCCCCAAGCAAATCGTCAACAGGAAAACCCGTCGCGTCAGGTGCATATACCCGGTCAACACCTGCTACGTGAACCCATGACATTGTTTCGGAACTCAATTTGAAGAATTTAAACCATTATTGCAGTACATGTCGTTTCGATGAACAAAACGCGTTTCCTTAAAACAATGTTTAACGAAAGTTTACAAAGAGTAGCATGACGTTTCTGCGACCTCGTTAATTCCGGGAAAGACATCGTTCCCCTTACCCATTGCTTGTCAGATACAGTTTCTTTAGTCTCATGAAACACACGGTGATACAAGAGCAAAGTTTACTTTTATACATATACAGAAACCCGTGGTAATTCTGTGTGCGGTTATTGGTCCCCAGTATCCTAAGCTTGTCGTATGTAACCGAATGGATCGGGTGGTCGGGTATACTAAACTATACTAAACGAGGAACGCATGCTCCTTAGGGGATACGGTGACCGGCGCTAGCTTATAAACATACCGCTGTTCCAATTACTTAAGACCCGTGGGGGCGGTCGGGTAGCCTAGTGGTTAAAGCGTTCGCTCGTCACGCCGAAGACACAGGTTCGATTCCCGACATGGGTACAATGTGTGAAGCCCATTTCTGGTGTCCCCCGCCGTGATATTGCTGGAATATTGCTAAAAGCGGCGTAAAACCATACTCACTCACTCACTCAAGACCCGTGAAGATCCGGGATAAAATAGGTCTTCAGCAACCCATGCTTGCCGTAATAGGCGACTATGCTTGTCGTAAAAGGCGACTAACGGGATCGGGTGGTCAGGCTCGCTGACTTGGCTGATTGCATGTCATCGTCTCCCAATTGCGTAGATCAGTGCTCATGTTGTCAATCACTTGATTGTCTGGTCCAGACACGAATATTTACAGACCGGCGTCTTATTTATTGGTTATTGCAGAGTGCGTCGTTAAACAAAAAACAACAACCCAAAACAAATATATGCAGTATACAACATGATCGCTATGGCGAATGGGACGGGGAATAGAATTTCTGAGGATTTTCAGAGGTACAGAAAATTAGGCCAGAAATGGAACAAAGCCCGGAGTATTGCAGGTCGTAGTCGTATACCACTTCGGTAATACCAACAAGAAAGGAATGGCGCTGACAAACCTAAAAATATTATCAAGGCGAAGCTTGGATTCGAACCCACGATCATAGGTTTCTGGCACCCTAATTTTAAGGGACGCATCTCTCTGTATGGTGTATTGAGAAGCCTTAGACTGGGCCACCAGTGTCCCCGTAGTGTAGGAGGGTGTGCAGAAACCTTCGTTGACAGTTATCGTACACTGTGACCACGAGGATACTGTAACACTGTGTACCAGGCACTGCCCGGCGCAGCCTGTTCCCCTGCCCTCTACGCCAACCCCAGTTATCAGTTCGGCATGTGTTGACTGGGTTCTGGCTATCTGTAACTGCGCACAGTTAGCCGTGCGTTCCAACAGTAGTGGTTTTACGCAATATTCCAGCAATGTCAACGCGGGGTCACCAGAAATGGGCTTCACACATTGTAGCAGAACCTGTTAACAACGTTACTATGACAATGTAACACGTCGCAAGATGTTTTTATTAATAATCTTGACACTGGAGCTCACACATATACGGCAAATCGGAGGCTGATGTTTCCATTTTTAACAAGAGTTTGTTGGGTAGGGGTGAAAATTTTGAATTCATTTTTAATTTGCAATTGTGCTTCGTCACACCTGTGTGAGAGTTGATAATAACAAAGCTTTTTTTAGCGGTAGCGAGAACTAAGATCTGATTTTAATGGGATTGGACAATAACGGAAAAAATATTGTTTTTAATGTCTTTTTTGAGCTCGATATTAGTCATCACCGAAAATGTTGATATTGCTTTAATAATGACAAACTCCCATTTACCCACAGGTTCAACTTCCTTATACCCGAGAGTCCACTTTTCGAGAATATCAAGTTCCGTGGAGAGCAACACTTCCTTCTTCCTCCAGCGAGGGTCCCCGTAAACATATTACTATTTTAAGATCCTCAAAAATCCTCGTTTCGTTTCTTCCTCCACAGATAGTGCAAGTCAAGAGTTGCCTCCCCTTATACTCGTGTCTCTTGTTTGAAAACCATGCATTATACCGATGAGGCGAGGTGAGATTATTGCTGTTATGTGCATCACGCTGTGACTGTTGTACTAGTGCGGACTAATGCCGTTTAAATCGTGCTAACTCACTGAGACACATGGAACCCCCACGCATACACTATACTGACTCCGAGCCTTGTTTTAATCCCTTACTGTCGAGCGCCAGGCAGGGTGACAAGAAGTACAAAATTTTAACATAGTTTTGTATGAAGAGCCAGGGGATCGAACCACCGACCTTCCACTCGGACAGGCGCACTATCCACTAGATCACGGATGCGGTCCATTACTTATGACGATTATGGATGGAGAGTTATATTTTCCGTTACGTTTGTGTAGAACAACTACTATATATAATTGCTCTTACAAATGCCCACTAAGAGATCGATATACCAATCAGTACTGCGGTATTGTGCTATGAGCAAAGTCTCTGTACCACACTTGTTAAATACTACCACAGCTCTTGTTGTATAATACAGTATTGAATAACCCTTATATTTCAGATATAGAAATGCATGCTAAAATTGTACACAGAGCTCCAGATAAGCTGCGTATCTGCGTGAAATACGCATCAGAAATGCAGGATTACACAGTAAAATATAATCCAAGCGTATCAAATACGCAACGAACATTACAGATACGCTACAAAAATAAAACTTGTGCGTATCATCAAAATATTGTGAAGTAGCCCTGCGTATTCGTTTAGCAAATCAGCAACTTATTTTGAAATTATAAACGGGCATTCCGTCAAGCTTGCCAAACTCCACGATGACAGTTACATCATGATCATTTGCCATCACACTTTCTTGTGGAAGTATCGTGGTATTTTTGAGTCCTATAAAGCTCTCGAACCCACACGACACCAGTTTGCAGGGACTAGATGAATAGTGTTTTTAAATATTCAACTTAAATACCCACATGTGTAAAAACAAGTGGGTAACAGAAATTTGAATACGCAGATAGAATTACTGATACCCAATGATTTTAAAATGCATGGGTAAAATACCCACAACCCCAAAAGCTTATCTGGAGCTCTGGACTGTACATATAAAAAGTCAAGTCGGAATTGCACCTGGGTTTGGTATTTACATTTACAGCAATGTTATCAATCCAGATATTTCATAAAGAAGACAGCACACGATACGTAAATATAATACGTAACTACGGTAAATACAAAAACAAGGCAGCTAAAAATTCTCCGCTGGGAATTCTATTTCTTCGTTTTAACAGTAAACAACCGTTTGGGAATTACTAGTCTACACGTTATATTTATAGGTATGACTTTCTGCTTGGCCGTTATATATTAATAACATCCACCACAGCTCATACCAGCGAACACAAAATGCGATTTGAATTGCCTACATATAGCCAATCTGTTATTCCCCAGCGCACGTGTGAAGTATTCTTAAACACCGAAACTTCCAGTTGAAGCGGAGCATAGGACCTGTATTTATTTTTGAAGCCAAGTATAATCATTGAATCACACTATTCAAACGGAATTCCCCTTTTGAATGACCTATATATAATTTACTAAAGGAAGATTTTCGATTTGTAAATATAATGTTTTAGTGGACAGCATATATATTATTGTCCATATTATTATAAAGTACCGAGATGCCGTATGATATGGAGTGCACAAAGGATTTGCACGAGGTATATCAAAGAACACAAGGAAACAAACGCACTAGCCTGAGTGCATGACCGACTATAACAGAATATACACATTTCAGCCAATCAGCGACGAGCTGTCTGAACTCGCTCCAACACGTTATAACCTACCAGCCAGGGAGTGAATCGTCAGTTGAGCGTTTACTTCGCTACAGGAAGGATCGTCGTTGCGAGAAATCGTGTTCTTTGTTTGAATTTCTTTGTTCGGATTTACCTTTGAATAATGACTTGGACGGTATTTAGAGATATGGACACCTGCACGTCTGATAAGTAAGTATTTATTCCTAAAGCATTTAATATTTGTTGAAATATTGATTTGATTTGTCATGCTGATTGCAGTATGTGCGTGGGACCAGCTGTTGACATACTGCGCCTGCAGAAAGTCGAATTAAGGCTTAATATCTTATTATATGAATAAATGTAGATATTTCAATAATTCTGACATGAAATGTGTGGCATCTTGTGCACGTGATTGTTGATATGCACTTTTGATACTGACCTGGCATGCTGTTTGTTCGAACTTGGGGCTTTGGCGGTGGCATTGTTGTGGAAACGCCCATGGCACATCCCCAATCCGATTGAATTTGGGAAGGGTGGTGCTGACAATATTTGTCTAAGTCTGCTGCACTGAGGCGACTCGGAGGAATACACGTTGACAATGTTCTACCGATATTTGTAAACTGGGTGTTTCCTCACTCAACAAGCAGCTTACCGTGGCAAGTATCACGAAGCCCTGCGACAACTGGTGAAAACTCTTCTCAATGCTCGTGCACACTTGTAACATAGCGTCCACCTTATCATTTGCATTTTTGTGTTAATTCTCGCTTGTCAACTGTCTTCGAGAAACAATATCGAGGCTAAGGCGGCTGTACCTGGCTAAACCAGCTGACTGAAAGAGCGCGTGACATTGCGTGACGTCAGCGAGATTTGCTGATGGAGTTTTTTCCACGCTGTCAGTAGGTTGTCGCCAGCTCAATAAGCCAAACGTGGAATCAAATGAAACCTAGGTATTTTATTTCATCACTTGAGGGGAATTTTGCTGCAACCTTAGGTCTGCTGTGTTGTAGATTGTGGTGATCTATGACTCATGCTTTGGAATACACCTTAGACGAATCGTGACTAACCGAATTTCGTAACTGCCGTCTCACGCCACTGTGTTAACCCAGCGTTGTTATTTTGCAGGAAACTTGTTGACATTGGAGACGCATTGTGCAAAGCTTTGGTCCAGGCTCATAGGACCAACCGAGTAACAAGTGGCGTTATGGAGTGTGCCAAGCTCCTCCGCAGTAACCCTGACAACGTGATGCTGTGCGTGCTGCCCGAGGCGAGTGGACAGCATGACGTCACGCTGGACATCCAACACACCCTCATCGAGGCGTTTTGCTGGGAGAACGAGATCCAGCTTGTTAAGGTAAATATGAAACTTTATTAGAACTCGTTATATGTAATTGCATGTGTAATGTGTACTTATTAAAATGAAATAAATTATTTAAAGCATGATTCAAGAAATAGAGGAATGTTGATGATTAATTTCGGTTTCTACGTTTGTTCCAATTCTGTAAGCATGGCTTTCCTTGTAACAAGGATGCTTACTCACTCAGACTACTTGTGACGTCAACTGTTGACCCTTTCCTTGAAAGTCACTATCACGACTTCCTCAATCCTGTTGTGACCTCAGTAGTAGATATACTGTACATGTAACAGTTAATATTTACAATTTATTTGCAAATATGGCAATAATTATGATTCTTTGTCCAAATGTTTTGCATTTTCTTTATTTGAAACTATTGGAAAACAATGTTCTTACAAATATCTCATCTTGGTTTTGCAGGTTGACAGCGAAGAAAAACTTGCTAAGACCTTATCAAAAGAAGATGAAAATAACAATAGTGGCGTTATCAGATGTCAATCAACCGATGTCAGCTGTCTCCTGGTTGAGGTAAGCATCAATCATACTTATGTTCTCAAGCATTTTTTGTGTGGTAAAATAAAAAAAAGATTTATGGCAAAGAAATGTCTTCACTGACCGTTTTCCCGATATTTATCTTCTATGACTATTATGTAAGATAAAAAAAAATTATTTTCTTGTAACGTTGTTGATTTTGTCACTGGTATTTTGACCTGATATTGACATTGAATATTTTACTATTACATGTTACTGACTTTTGCCCTCTTGTTTTCAGTTTGCCAAAGGTGCAACCACTCGAGAGGACGATTTGTTGACAAACTATATCGCTGACGTCATCAATAACGATGTCTACCCAAAACCTGTCATCGAGTTACCTGTTTGAAATATACATCACCCAGCTGTGCTTCACATACACACCAGGTGCGTTGATTGGTTGACAAGTGGTGTCAATTGCACGCATCTGTTTGATCAGAGTGCAGTATCAATCGTTTATACACCTAAAAAATCTACATGTGATTTATGTTTAAAATAAGGCTTTCAATGTTTATTAAATTAATTTATTTAAAAAAAAAAATGATGTACATGATATATAATTTTGATGACATTATTTTGACCATCTGTTTATCCTTTTCAAGGTAATCCCAAACCTGGTCAAAGAGGTAATCACTCACCCATTGGTCATCGCTGGCCAAGTCGTCATGGCGACCGAGGTGCACTAGCCAACCAGATGCAAGTTCAGAGTTGATCATCCAATCAGATTTCACCAACAGGGATGAAGTAGCCACAGAGTGGTCTGCGAAGTGACTCTGTAATGCTGACCAACACAGTTGGTGGTGTCGACTTGGTGCAGTTAAACCTTGATTCAGGGGACCAGATTAATACCCAAGACTGGCTGACCAGTTGCAAACGTCATCCTACACACTGTATGACTGTGAATGCCTGTATTCGCAACTCCTAACAGAAGAGGTGGAGAAAATTGACAAGAATAATGGACACGCTCTTGTTACATTCATCATTTTAGTTTGTTGTCATCTATATTCGTGTTTATGTTCTGTTTTATTTCTTGTACATACAATCTTTATTTGTTTTTGATAGTTATGTTCCTTGTGATGAATAAATAATATGATTTTAGAACCAGTGTTGGTCTCATACTGTCTGTTAATAACTGGATGGATTCCCTGCTCTGTTAATTGAACTGTGAAGATCCGGGTCAGAATTGGTCTTCCGAAACCCTTGCTTGCTGTAAAAGGCGACTATGCTTATCGTATGAGGTGGCTAACGGGAGCGGGTGGTCGATGGTTGATGCATGTCATCGTATCCCAATTGCGTGCATTGATGCTCATGATATCAATTACTGGATTGCCTGGTCCAGACTCGATTATTTACAGACCGCCGTCATATAGCTGGAATATTGCTGAGTACAGCGTAACAACAACAAAGAAATTTTCATTAGATAAATGAAATAATGGCCCACTCGTCTTAGGCGCCGCGATTCGCTGTGCAGAGTTGCGTCCCTTGGGCAAGCCAGTAACCTGTGATTGTGGGTTCGAATTCCGGCTCGCCCCGATTATGTTTTAAGGGCTGCTCGTGGGTTTCACCGAAGTGGTAAACGTCTGAGACCTGCTTCGGGATTTCCTCCCACATTAAGCTGACACGCCGTGATATAACTGGAATACTGTTAAAAGTGGCGTTAAACCCAACTCACTCACTCAGTCACTTATTAACATTTGCTGTGGACCAAAATAGTCATATTTAGTCTGGTTAGTCATCCCATGACTTTAACTCTAAGATTCGGTTTTTCTTAAACTTCTTTTGAGTGGTACAATTCCTCAAATGAATACAGCGGCGATGTCTGAAACACGTGACATGTCCCACACGTACCCACTCCCCACAATTCCGGGTTCGACATCTGCTGGTTGTAAGGCTACCTAACGGATTTGGTTGGTTGGGTTGGTTGGTTGGTTGGTTGGTTGTTTAACGCCGCACTCAGCAATATTCCAGCTATATAACGGCCGTCTAAATAATCGAGTCTGGACCAGACAATCCAGCGATTGACATCATGAGCATCGATCAACGCAATTGGGATCGATGACATGCATCAACCAAGTCAGCGAGCCTGACCAACCGATCCCGTTAGTCGCCTTTTGCGGCAAGCATGGCTACCTGACGGAACAGATGATGTCCCCGCACACCGACGATGGAGATTATTGCTCATAATATCAATCCCTTGATTTTCTGGATGGACACACAAACATACACGCACTCACACCCACACAGAGACACACAGGGACGTACGCACACGCATACATACGCACACTCCCGTACACACATACACTGCGTCGATTTGATATTTAAATTACGCGCCGTGACAAACCCACCGAATAAGTACCAGACCCAAGGCCTTTGCAGCATTGAGCCAGAGCAACACGTACTTAGATTAACTAAACTCTTGTCTTCGGAATCATTTCAAAACAACACCATTAATATCTATCAACTGGAGACAGAAGTAGATCGATGAAAACTTCATTCATAACATGCAACATCTGTTGTTTATTTCACAACGTGGTCGTCAATTGACATGTGTCACGTGTCAATATCTGCAATTTCACCATGGACGAACTCATGTAATAGATTCAATAAAAGTACTCAGAGTCATCGCCCACTATGCACTTGTAACCAGTAACATGTGGCCGAAACATTTGGTTGAATTTGGTAGCGGGGACATAACAGCTGAAGAATACTTGTCTGTTTCATATCATGTTTCATGGTTCTCTTTAAGTCCTTACATCATTGTATTCATTCATAAATTTGGCTTATTGTCACAACAAATGATTTTGCTACAGATGGCTTATTAACGTGAAGGCTATACACATATTCATTCACTGTCAATCCTGTTTTCGCTCCGGCAAACCAATTTACTGACGGAATGACTTCATATAAAGATATTAATATCAAGACGTCATTTCAAATCGGGGACATGACTGGCTCAGTCGTTTGAGGCGCCGCAATTCGCTGAGCAGAGTTGCTTCCCTTGGGCACGCCTGAAACCTATGATCGGTGGTTCGAATCCCGATAATGTGTCTAGGTTTGTCAGCACCATACCAGTGTTCGTAGGTTTCACCGAAGTGGTAAACTGCCGAGAAGGGCCACAAGAGTTATGCCCCTTTGTAAACAGACAGTTTGTCCATCTCACACAGTGTAGATAGAATGATCATGTATCCTTAGTTACGGTATGTATATCTGTTCCTCTTGATTGTGATGTCATGTACATGTGTTTACTGCTGTCATGGTAATGCCAGTTGGGCTGAGGAGTCAGATATCACGTTTTCAACTACAGTCATCGTTGTTGAGATTGTTGACTAATGAAGATGTGCGTTTCATGTCTGGGGCACATTATATCTCAAAATGGTGTTGAAACAGATCCGGAGAAAACTAGAGTTGTTCGTAAATGGCCAACACCTTCAACAGTAAATGAAGTCCTTCGATTCTTGGGTTTTGCATCATACCAAGAAACATTTGGCAGAAATTATAGCTCCACTCCTGTATGTGCACTCATACAAGACAGAGAATAGAAAGTTGATTGTTCATATGGAGGTCTTGTAGAAAAGATTTTGCAGAATGTACACAGCGCTGAAACTGGTGGTCACTTGGAATCTGCAAAGACACTGGAAAAAGATCAAGCAAACGTATTCCTGGCTATGGATGGACAGTGGGGTGGAAGAGAGTGTGAGTTTGGTTTTACGCCAAATTTAGCAATATTCCATCAATATCACTGCAGGGGACACTAGAAAGGGGCTTCACACATTGTACCCATGCAGCAATCGAACCCGGGTCTATTTTGTGGCCAGATGACGATCACATTGAGACAATGTGTGTTATCCGTCAGCCAGAGATGAGGAAGTTGTCCAAATACCTTCCTCATACAAGGAGGAGGAAACCCACATAAGTATGGCCTGAACTATTCTTGTGTTAATAGAGATAGATACATGTGAAGTGTTCATCATAGTGAAGAATGGAACTGTGTTATAATGGAATATGTGTAAATATTTGTATAGTTTGTGATCAGCTTAATTTTGAAGAAGGGCCACAAGAGTTATGCCCCTTTGTAAACAGACAGTTTGTCCATCTCACACAGTGTAGATAGAATGATCATGTATCCTTAGTTACGGTATGTATATCTGTTCCTCTTGATTGTGATGTCATGTACATGTGTTTACTGCTGTCATGGTAATGCCAGTTGGGCTGAGGAGTCAGATATCACGTTTTCAACTACAGTCATCGTTGTTGAGATTGTTGACTAATTATTTAAGATGAGGTTCAACAATGTATTGATATTAGCCAAAAAGGTGGTCTCAACAAAAATGAGAAACTCATTTATGACCTCAATTACAGAACTAAAATGAAAACAAATTGGGACCAGAAGTATATCTGTCAGCTATTTGAGGAGGCAGGTCACATCTCAAGTGACACATGTTTCAGGGCGCGGGTGGCCCAGTCGTCTAAGGCGCCGCAACTCGCTGTGCAGAGTTGCGTGCCTTGGGCACGCCAGAAACCTATGATTGTGGGTTCGAATCCCGGTTCGCCCCGAATATGTTCTAGGTTTGTCAGCACCATACCCGTGCTCGTGGGTTTCACCGAAGTGGTAAACGTCTGAGACCTGCATCACTTCGGGCTTTCCTCCCACATTAAGCTGACACACCGTGATATAACTGTAATACTGTTCAAAGCGGCGTTAAACCCAACTCACTCGCCATCTATAGGCAGCTGGTTGTTATTACAAGGCATATAAACAGTTCGTTGATGGTTGACAATATTTACAATCCTTTGATAATATGTTTATCCCGAGAAGTCTGCAGTTCATATGCGACGGCGAAGGTTATTGATGCTATTTCCTTCTTACAGTTACAGGGGCGGTCGGGTAGCCTAGTGGTTAAAGCGTTCGCTCGTCACGCCGAAGACCCGGGTTCGATTCCCGACATGGGTACAATGTGTGAAGCCCATTTCTGGTGTCCCCCGCCGTGATATTGCTGGAATATTGCTAAAAGCGGCGTAAAACCATACTCACTCACTCACTCTTACAGTTACATTTGAGCCCCTTGTGAATTAATCAGTTTTCTATGATCATAGTTTCAATTGAACCTGCAGCTCATCAAGCAAAATACCAAGGTTCGATTCTCTACATTGATTCCCCGTTATATGGCTGCAATATTGCCACATTGGCGTAAAAACATACTAAATCACTCACTCACTCAAAACTACCACGTTGTCCCTACACAGCACACTGTTAGGCCACGAGCTGGAATAAAAATCATTCCACTGCCAGTAATAATCCATCTACATTACTCCAAGTAATCAACCAGGTGTACCCGGTATGCCAGTGGATTTCGGCTTCTCGTGAGCGTGGCCACACTGGCCGCAATTTGCAGAGTTGCATCCCTTAGACGCAAGTAGCATGATCGTGGGTTCGAATTCCATATTTGCCTTAATTATGTTTCTAGTTTGTCAGCACCACGGTCGTGCTCGGGGGTTTCACCAAAGAGGTACAAGATCTGTATCACCTAGGGCGGAGGCAAGGTATGTTGACATGACAACTGGGATAAGCGTTGGGATAGTGCGAATAGGCTACACTGGGTATTCTCCCACATCGAGCTGACACGCCGTGTTGTATGAGTGAGTTGTGTTTAACGCCGCTTTTAACAGTGTTCCAGTTATATCACGGCGTGTCAGCTTAATGTGTGAGGAAAGCCCGAAGTGATGCAAGTTTCAGACGTTTACAACTTCGGTGAAACCCACGAGCACGGTTATGGTGGTGACAAACCTTGAAACATAATCGGGGTGAACCGGGATTCGAACCCACAATCATAGGTTTCAAAGGGAATGCACAGCGAATCGCGGCGCCTTAGACGACTAGGCCCCCCGTGCCGTGTTTGGGGCCACAAAATCAGACGTCAGGCACACTTCCACGGAGCTTTCGAATGATTTGTATCGGAACAGTTAACTTAAAGTGATCTGGTCGTGCTGTCGTGTACGTTCATTCATGAACAACAACTCCCGAAACAGCGCCACAAAATACGCTTCAAAGGGGACACCGATGGCACAACCGGATCATCCCAAGTCAGTCTCGATATCTGTCC